TAAGGTCATATCTACGTGGGTTTGATTACAGAAACTAATAAAGTATTTTCTAAATAATGAAAAAAGAATAAGATAAGACTATAAGAGCAAGAAGCAATTTAAATATGTTCAGGGACCATTTTCATCCCCAGAATTAAGGATTATTTTCATGTTACATCATTGCCTTTTCTCTTTTACTTTGCTTTTAAGTTTTATTTTAGGATTCCCTATTTTTAATGTTCATACAGAGATTTCTTTAACTGAAATACCGAATAGTTTCTCTGGTGTGAAAAACTATAATAGTACACAGGATCCTAATGAGATAATTAATAATGTGAAATAGGAAGTAAAGGGCTAAAGGTGTAGGGAAAGTGGGAAGGGTGGGGGAAAGGTAATAAGGGAGAGGAAAAAAAATATGAGAAACTGAAAAAATGGAAATAAAGTGTTTGTAAATGGGGAGGGGTGGAGGAGGTGAAGGGAGGGCAGGGACAAGGGGAAAAAATGAGAATCAAGACCTGTCATGTGGAGGTACAAGATCCCAATGATGAATGTAATTGTATTGTATACCTAGATTGTACCAATAAACTCAATAAAAAGAAAAAAAAAAGAAATACAGAGTGAGTTCAAACAAACAACCTAATGTTAAAGCTCAAGCTTCTAGAAAAAGAACAAGTCAGACACAAATCTTGTACAAGGTAGGAAATGGTGAAGATCAGAGCAGAAATTAATGCAATGGAGACCAAGAAAACAATACAAAGAATCAATGAATCAAAAAGTTGGGGGCTGGGTGTGGTGTTGCACTCCTGTAATCACAGCACTTGGGAGGCTGAGGCAGGAGGATCGCTGTGAGTTCGAGACCAGCCTGGGCTATGTAGTGAGTTCCAGGTCAGCCTCAACTATACATAGTGAGGCCCTGTCTCAAAAAAAATGAAAAACAAACAGTTGGGTTGTTTGAGACAGAGATTTAGCTCAGTGGTGACACTGCCTGCCTTGTAAGCTCAAGGTCCAGAGTTCAATCCGCGGTACAAAAAAAAAAAAAAAAAGTTGGTTGCTTGAAAGATTAAATCAAACTGACAAACCCTTTGCCAAACTTAGCCAATAAATAAATAAATAAAAAGGAAAAGAAAGCAAAGACTCAAATCCATGCAATTAGGAATGAAAGGGGTGAAATCGTAACAGAAATCCAGAAAATCGTCAATACCTGCTTTGAGAACCTGTCTTCTACTAAGATGGAAAACCAGAACAAATGGCACAGATTTCTACACACGCGAGAATTACTACAGCTCAATCAAGAAGATTGAAAATTTCTAAATAAACCAATCATCAACCAATGAAACTGAAGATGTATTAAAAACCTACCAACAAGGAAAAGTGGATGGATTCACGGCTGAATTCTACAATAAATTTAGAGAAGACCTAATACCACTACTCTTCTAACTCTAACTCTTTAATGAAATTGAAAGGGAAGCTATACTTCCCTTCTCATTCCTAAAAGCAAGCATTACCCTGATACTAAAACCAGATAAGGATCTGGTCAAAAAGGAGCACTATAGGCCAATCTCCTTAATGAGCGTAGATGCAAAATTCCTCAGTGATATACGGGTGAACAATAGAGCAAATCATCAAGAAGATAAACATACGCAATGGGATGTTTCAACATATGCAAATCAATAAATGTAATACACTATTGTAACAGAGCCAAGGACAAAACCATATGATTATCTCGATAGATGCAGAAAAAGCATTTGACAAGGTCCAACACCCATTCATGATAAAAACTCTACAAAAAACTGGAACACATGGTCTTTATATCAACCTGATAAAAGTCATCTATGACAAACCAATAGCCAATGTCATACTAAATGGACAAAAACTGAAAGCTTTCATTCTAAAATCAGGAACGAGACAAGAATGTCCACTATCACCACTCTTATTCAATGTACTGTTGGAAACATTAGCCCAGAAAGTAATAAAAGAAATAAACATAGGAAGGGAAGAAGTAAAATTATCATTATTTGTGGATGACGTTAGACTGCGTATAGAAGAACGAAGAGACTCTACCAAAAGACTGCTACATGTAATACACAAATTCAGCAGCATAACTGGAGACGAAGTCAACACTCAAATATTAATAAGCTTCCTGTACACAAAAAACAAACTCACCGAGAAAGAAATTAGGGAAACTACCACTTTCACAATAGTATTTTAAAAAGTGAAATACCTAGGAATCAATCTAGTGAAGGAAGTAAAAGACTTTTACATTGAAATTTTAAGTAATCTGAAAAGAAGAGATTGAAGAGCAGATCAGAATATGGAAAGATATCATTCATTTGTTCTTGGGTAGGAAAAACCAATACAGAGAAATGGCCACACTTCCAAAATTGCTATACAGATTTAGTGCAATCCCAATCAAAATTCCACTATTATATGTCACCGAATTAGAAAGAACAATCTTAAAATTCATTTGGAACCAAAACAGACCTAGAAAAGTAAAGGCAAATCAGGACAGCAAAGGCAAGGCAGGGGCATCACAATCCCTGACTTGAAATTCTTCTACAGAGATACTGTGATAAACAAGCAAGCAAACAAACAAACAAACCGACCTAAGGATCAACGGAACAGATTAGAAGATGCGGAAACAACTCCACACATCCTCAGCCATCTCATCTTTGACAAAGGAGCCACCCACGTTCACTGGAGGAAAGATGGCCTCTTTCACAAGCGGTGCTGGAAAAATGGATTTCCACATGCTGAAGATTAAAATTGGACCCTATGTCTCATGATACACAATCAAAATGGACCAAAGATCTAAATATTAAAATGGAAACACTAAATCTGCTGGAAGATAAAATAGGCAGAACTCTTGAAGACATTGGGGTACACAGAGACTTTATGAACAAACCCCAATCACACCGGAAGTAGCACACAAAGACAACTGGGATCTCATCTTATTAAAAAGCTTTTGTGTGGCAAAAGAATTCATCAACAGTGTGAAGAGACAACCCACAGAGTGGAAAGAAACTTTGGCCAGCTGTTCCTCAGACAAAGGGCTAATATCTAAAATATATAAAGAACTTTAAAAAAAGCAGACCCCCAAATCTAAAATGAACAGACCCTTCTCAGAGGAAGAAGTAGAAATGACAAGTATATAAAAAGTATGTTCAGTGTCACTGGTTATTTGAAAGATGCAAATTTAAATGCTGAGATTCCACCTCGCTCCAGACAGAATGGCTGCTATTAAGAAATCAACCAATAACAAGTGTTGGTGGGGTTGTGGGGAACAAGGAATCTTTCTCCACTGTTGGTGGCAGTGGGTTGCTGGTGCAACCCCTGTGGAAATCAGTGCGGAAATTCCTCAAAAATTAAAACCAGAAGTCCCATTTGACCTAGATAGTCCCCTTTTCGGTGTCTTCCCCAAGGAATTAAAAGCATCATATCACACAACATATGCACAGCCATATTTATGGCAGCACAGTTTATAGTGGCTCAGTCTTGGAAAGAGCCCAAAAGTCCATCAAGTGTATCCAATGGATGCATAAAGAAGATGAGACTTTTTTCTATATAGGGGGGTACTACTCTGCCATAAAAAAGGGCGAGCTTGAGACGTTTCTCGGTACATAGATGCACCTCGAGACCATACTCTTAGAGTGAAATAAACTGTACACACGTGTTTCAATACTACATTGTTTCTCTGGTGTGAGAAACTAATAGCGGTAAATAAGAACCACAGCGTGTCATAGATATTGGGAAATGAGAAAATGTTCAAATGACAAGGAAAACAAGGTACAGGGAAGGGGCAAAGAAAGGAAGGATATGAAAAATATAATTAAAGATGGAAATGAAGCTTTTGTAATAAGGAAGGGAAGGGGTCGGAAGGAGGGGATGGGGCGAAGGGAAGTGAGGTACATCTAGAGCAGGTGCCAGTTCCGCCGATGAGTGCGACCCTCATCTGTATCTCAAATACACCAATACAAAATTTCCATCTTTCCGGGCGTGGTGGCGCACGCCTGTCATCCCAGCCCTCGGGAGGCTGAGGCAGGAGGATCGCTGTGAGTTGGAGACCAGCCTGGGCTACATAGTGAGTTCCAGGTCAGACTCGACTGCATAGTGAGACCCTGTCTCAAAAAACAACAAAAAAACAAAACCAAAACAAAAAGTTTCCACCTCGTACACTTGCTATGTGACCTGCTCCCCCATTGGACCCCCACTTAATCAATACTACCTGGGTGACTGTACTTGTCATCCTACTGGTCGGTCACGGTTTGGCCCCACCCCATGCCCACCTTGTAATTTTCCACTGGGTCTTACAGTGTTGCCCCACTTTGTACCCGCCTCACCCCATGGCTTTGCTCATAAAACACCTTAGAGCAGTGGGGTGAGCAGGCAGCACACTTTCCGGCCGTCCTTCCGTCTCTCTTAGACGCTCTCTTTCACTCAATGCATTTTTCCTACTCTCAAAAAATAGTTTCCAAGACTCAGGCTTTGCCCACAGCACAGACTCCCAGGTCCTGCGTAACAAACACTCCCTCTCCACCCAGAGCCGCGCCCCGCCTTGGGTCCCACCCGGGCGCTGTCTGAGTCTGCTTTGGGGCCCCTCAGCCCCTGGAGGGGGGCATGTGTGGCGTCCCCAGCCCCTTCCCGCCCCATGTAAAGGTGTGGCTGCCCCCAGGTGACGGACTCCCTCACTCCACTCCACTTTTCTCCTAATCTCCTTGGACTCAGCAGCTACTGTACCAACTCCTGCATTCCTTCGCGGTCCCCTCTTTTGTTTTCTTCACAGATTACTCAAGAGTTTTGACATCGATGATCTCCCTACTCAGTAAGCATCTGTTCCCAAACCAGCAGTTTGACAGGGCGGGTGTAATCCCAGCACTTGGGAGGCTGAGGCAGGAGGATCACCATGAGTTCCAGGCCAGCCCAGAGCTACCCAATAAGACCTTGTCTCAAAAAAGTAAAACTAAAACAACGTTACAAGCCAGCAGTTCCTTACCTCCATGCTTCTAAAGTCGTTGTCGTACCCGTGGGTGCCGCCTCCGCACGACGTGCTTCCCTGGGTCCTGTGGAGAGAAGAGGTCACCGCGCAGCCAGTGTCTGGGGACCCGGCTGCCACATGAGCCCTCGCGGGTCCTCAGACAGCCGCCTGTTCACCGAAGTAAATGTTTCCGCCAAAACAGCAGAAACGTGTTCTCAGGTTCGACTCTTAACCCCCAGGGCTACAGGGGATGCCAGGGCCGAAAGCCTGGGGATTCCGGGCTCTGTCCGCAGAATCCGAGCTTCCTTCGGCTCCCAGACGCGCACGGGGCAGAAACAACACAGGCGTGAGGAGCCGGAAAGGAAAGACCCGGCTTCCAACGTGTCCGTCCCTGCACCAGTGCGGGCCACTAAGGAGAGTCTGATTACAACGTGAGACTTCGTGGGTTTCGGGGCATTCAAGTATCGATTCGTATTTTACATAAAAAGCTATAGAAGTGGGAATACAGAACCCATGGGGTCACTGGGCATGATGGCACACGCCTGTCATCCCAGCACTTTGGAGGCCGAGGCAGGAGGATCGCCGCAAGTTTGAGGCCAACCTGGGAAATGGTGAGTTCAAGGTCAGAATTAACTACATAGCAAGACCGTGTCTCAAACCCCAACCCCCAATAAAAAGGATACTGGGGCAAGCTGGTCCAACCCCGGACAAGGAGGAGCTAGTTAGCACCTCCTACAAATTCAGGGTTTCTTTTTAACTTTTGGGGTATTCCATAAACTGCTGCTCCGTTCCTTGACGAACTTTTATCTTTTTGTTGTTGCTGTTGTTTGTTTTCTGAGACAGGGTTTCACTATGTAGTTGAGACTGTCCTGGAAGAACTTTGATCATAGAATCAGTTTGTTTTCCGCCCACCAGAGCTCATGTGTGAATCTTTGAACTGAGCAGTGTCTGCAATTCTGTGCATTGTTGGGAAATAACAGTGACAAAGAAACCTAGATTTTCTCAAAGCAACAGTGCTCTTCCTGTGAGCACAGGATGGATCCCAGAAGGGGGCAAGACTACAGTTCTAAAGTCTGGACTGAGAAGTTTTCTCTCAAAAGCTTCTTCCTCCTCCTTCCCCAAGGCATACAGCCCAGACAGACAGACAGACAGACAGACAGACACACACACACACACACACACACACACACAGTTCCTGTTTGTCTTCACAGGGAGGGCTCAACTGAGAAGAGGCGAGAACTCTAGGGCCTTAAAAGAAGTTTTAAAAATTCATAACAGACCCTCACTCAGTTGAAGTAGCAAATACAAATGAAATCACAGCTGTGAGCAGGGCCCAGGCAGCTGTACCTGGTACCAGAGGAGAGGTTCGTACCTGGACGGGGAGGGAAGAGCCTTGCTGTGCACGGTGCTGCAATTGTCAGTCCCTGCCCCCATCTCAAAGCGGCCAGAGTGGGGTAGAATTTGTTTGTGTTTGCTGGGTGTGGTGTCACATGGGTGTCATCCCAGCACTCGGGAGGCTGAGGCAGGAGGATTGCTGAAAGTTTGAGGCTGCCTGGGCTGACTATACCAAAATCCTCTCTCAAAAAACCAGAACTATTATAAAATTCTTATGGCACACACTTAGTTTCACAAGGTTACTGGAGTTGTCTGATTGAAGTTAAGATTTAAATTCTGTACCATAAACTGGAGTGTTCATTCATTAAAAGGAAGTATTTTGAGCCAAATTTGCTAAAGTGGGTCCTATATTTGTAGGTTTTTTTTTCAGAAAAACTAATTGCTTCTTATATTTCCGTTTCCTAACCCACCCATTAAAAAAAAACTGATAGTAAATAATGCACGGGAGGACACCATCTCCTGAAGAAGCTCTACTTTTCAGGTGAAGCCCGGGGGTCGCTGAGTTCAAGGCCAGGAGAGACCCTGTCTCAAAACAACAGCGAAGAACAGGACAGCGCAGGCGCTCGCACCGGGTACCAGGACAGGACGCATGTGCCTTGGGCCCGCTCCGGAAACCCTTTCCTTCCTTAAGAGTAGGAAAAGTGTTCTGAGAGAAAGAAAGCTTCTGTCTAAGACAGAAGGGGACCTGAATGTGGATTGTAAAACCCTTTCCTTCTTCAAACGCTGCTGGCAACAGTCACAGGTGGCGCCCCCTTCCGGACATGTCTGTTTATGTATCGTGTACCTAAAGTGCCAGTACTTATATTTATAATAATAACAAACTAGTACTTATGCTTATTCTTCTTCTTTTGGGTTTTGAAGACAAGGTCTCCCTACGCAGCCCAGGCTGTCCTTGAACTCGCAGCGATCCTCCTGCCTCGGCCTCCCGCGGCCGGGATGACAAGCATGTGTCACCAGCACGCAATCTTCTGTTTTTAACGTCAGTAAAGCTCCTTTTGTCCCAGACCTCGGAGATGCTGTCAGAGAACTTCGCCAGGGCCGGCAGCCAGGCCGAGAAGGTAAAAGGGCTCGGAAGCGCAGCTCCCGAGGAGGGGCCACTGCCATCTAGTGACGCCGGGCGGAACTGCAGGACGGAGCGGGGCGCGCACCGGGACCGGCGTGTTGGGGCCCAGAACCGACCGCGAGTTACGCGCCGCGCAGAAAGCACACGCAAGGCACAGACAAATCGAGAGCAAAATAAAAGATGGAAAACAGCAAGCAGGGAGACGGATCGTCAGCAAACTGGAAGAGGCCCGACAGATGGAGGCGGAGGAAACGTACGGGAGAGCGCAGCTGCCCGCTATGCGCCCCCGACCCCCACGCCGGAGGTGATCGCCATGTGCCGCGCACCCACCGGTACTGACACAGGTGAAAACCAAAAAGCAGAACGGCCAGGGGTGCTGGCCCGCGCCTGTAATCCTCGCGCCCGGGAGGCTGAGGCAGGAGGATCCCTGCAAATTGGAGAGGTCACGCTGGCAAGTGCCCGTGATGCGACCGCCCCATCTCTCACGCGCACCGACGATGAGCACTTAGGCCCCCGCGTGGCCCGAGCGCGCCCGTCCGAGGAGGACAGGTCTGCACTGCACGCCGGGCACACTCGGGCACCCGGGGACTTCCTGTGGGCTCCGTCGGCCCCCGTACCTGGCTGCGGGGACTCAGGATGGGCCTGCTTTCCCCGAGAACATTGTTTATTTATTTGGGCTCGGTGATCAGCATGAATTACGATTAGAAATAAGAGATCAACGTTACGACTCATTGGCTGACTTGGTCTTACACCGCAACGAGGCTCTTTGGGTTTGTTTTGAGCCAGGGTCTCCCTGTGGAGCCCAGGCTGGCCTCAGACTTGCAGCGATCCTCCTGCCTCAGCCTCCCAAGTGCCGAGATGACCAGCGTGCGCTACCACGCCCAGCTCCAAAGCTCTTTTATGAAAACTAGGACGAAGACAAAGCTCTTAACCAGCTGTGTGATGAGGGAGAGAACCCGACCTCGTGTCCGGGCTAGGAAAGGTCGCCCTGAAGTCCAGCTGGGCGCGGCAGAGTCGCCGCTGCCTCGCTACCTCCGGAAGATCCGGCTGCGATCAGCCGCCCGTTAGGCACCGCACAGAAGGCTGGGAGCCCGGAAAGTTCCCGGTGGCGCCCCGGGCGGAGATGGGCGGGAGGGCAAGGGACCAGGAGCGGGACACTGACCTGGCCGCCAGCCACTGGGGCTGCAGTAGCAGCTGCGCCCGGTCGATGCGCACGTTCCTGGCGAAGTGCAGGCGCTTGGGCAGGTCCGGGCTCAGGTAAGCCTTGAAGTGCTGGTTAGGTCTTCGGCACTGGAGAAAGAAAGCGTGAGGTTTCCCCGGTGGGGCTGAATACGAAAACGGATTCCAACCCTTCCTCTTGAGACAACTTACTAAGCACTTTTCACAGTTTGAAGGGAAATTCAGCTCAGCTAGTAAAATGCAAATATTAAACCCAGTATTGAGGTAGGCTGTGAGTTCGAGGTGAGCCTGGGCAACAGGGTGAGATTGGCTCAAAAAACGGAAAAACAAAAACCCAGAAACTCCCATTATTAACATGCTCAGGTTCTCGATATTACTTTTTTTGTTGCAACAATAATTAGGTTGGAAATAAATTTTTATTTAAATCATGAGTAGATGTTTGCTGGCTTATTTCTAAGTATACATCTGAAGCCACTGTAAATCTGCCCTCTCTTCTTGGCAGAAAACAGACGTGTCTACAGTTAGACTGCAAACACAACTTTTTTGAGCCTAAATCATATGAAAAGAAGCACATTAACAGATATAGTAAAAAATTAAAAATCAGTCTCGTTGACCAAAAACCTCTCTCCGAGCAACTTAATTTATCTTTTTAAATAATTATTAAAAAACTATTTAGTTTTCAAGTCAACAGCTTTTGAAACTATCCTATTTGAAAAATTAATGGGTTTATCACAAATTAGAGTAGAAAAAAACTTTTCTGTTCTGAGACAAGGTCTCACTATGTGACCAGGGTGGCCTCAAACTCGTGGTAAATCTCCTGCCTCAGCCTCCCAAATACTGGGATTACACCTTGTTCAGGTTTTGTAAAATTTTGTTTCTGCAGTAATCAGTACTGTAGATACCTGGAGTGTTAAAACTGTACACATGCAGATCACACTGATCTATTAATGGAAAGGAAGAAGGAGGGTACAAGAAACAGATCAGGAAGACACCTTCTCTCATGACCTCTCTGAGAAACGAAAGGCAGAAATAAACACGCAGCGAACATGACAAAACCGAAATAGCAACATACAGTATCTCATCGATATCAGAAATCCATGTCAACTACTTCATACGCAACGTATATAAGACAAACGAGAAACTGTGAAGCACAACTTACAAAAACAACATTTAAGAGCAGCATAGAAGATGAGAGACACATGAAGGGGCACTCAGAATCGTACTATACTCCTGCCCCTTTTCCCTCTCCCTTTGATGTTTTCAGCTTCTGATTCTTCTCCTCTTCCATCCGCCCTTACACCCTTCCTAAGCCGGCTGAACCTGCAGCTGGCCAGATGGAAGGGGACTCAGGGGACCCGGGACAATGATCTCCTCCCTGCGGTGCAGCGGAAGCAGAGGGCGCCGGGGGCAATGTCAAGCGCTGAAGAACTGAGAGGTTATTATTGGCACTTGAGAACTGAGATGAGGAGAACAAAGTGGAGAGGAAATTTTGGTCACATCTCGGGAGGCCGAGGCAGGAGGGTCGCCATGAATTCGCGGCCAGCCTGGGCTACAGCGTGAGTTCAAGGCAGCCTGGACTATATGGTGAGACCCTTTCTCAACAAAACAAAACAACAAAGTCGGTGCTGATGCCTTTGACGCAGCCAGGATTCTGTGGAACGGCAGACAGCAGGGCCTGGCTGGCCCCCGTCTGTTCGTCCTGTCCTCCGCGCAGGCCCTCAGGACAGCGCCCCCGTGTGGACGACGGCAGTCCGCGCCGTTGCGGAAGTTTGTCCGGGGCCCACGTGGTGGACCTCCCGGTCCGCGCGGCTCCGTGCTCTG